GTTCCCCGAACTGATCGGAAGAGGTTCGTAAGGACGAACAGTGAGATTCCGACATTATCAATGACCCACAAATAAAGGTTGGGAAAACATCGATGCCCCGTTTAGGAAACTAGTTTCAAGCTATTCTGCTCTGAGCTTCAAAGTTTCAAGATGTTCTACCTACTGTCAAGCCAACGAGACACGCCCTACGAAGAAATAGCCTGACTGTTACTTTTCAGTGGGACCACCTGATTGTGAAGTCTTGAAAGGTTGGTCAGAACCGGGACACTTGCTTGTTCGTCTTTGGAGACGTCGGGTAAACTAATCACATGGGTCAAGCGTTACAACGTTCGCCTGCTTGAACGTGATAATTCAGACGCATCCAGCGTGCGCTGGTGATGTAGTGGCAACATACTCGCCTCGCATTTCGGGTGTTCGGATTGCAAACCTCACCACGGTCCAGGATATGCACTGGTGGTAAGCTCTAATAAGAGGGAAACTCAACCCCAGAGCTTACTCCTATTGTGCAGATTAACGACAATAATTGCACCAGGACAGGAGGAGGACTATCCTAACAAGAGTGATGTGAATACGTACTGCTTCTCTGTCGAATACGACACGAAACCGTTGAATTCTTTTGAGATTTTTCCTCTGCATGTATACCTCCTCAACCGCCCTGTTTGAGTTAATCATGTTTGGGTTGGATCATGAAACCTCTTCGTTTCCGGTCGCGACCTCTAATTGTGGCACAAACCTTCTCGCGTTAGGGATATTTTCAGTTGTCCTTCAGTACTTAAGTGATTTTTCCGTACACAGTCCACACCACCAAAAGTTTCCGCCCGAGACTTTGCAATGTTCAAACACCCTTTGACTAATAATAGCAGGGTCAACAGATACCAGTGGCTTTCTGATTGTCCGCATGTTCATCTTGCACCTATATGGACTGATGACTAATGAAAAGCGTAAATGCAAAAAAGAGTAAGTAGGATCATGATTTCGACCTAAATCACTGCTGTAGAACGCATGAGTCTGCAGTCATGAGTGGCGTGTGTAGCTGGCAGTCACGCGAACTACGTATGCTCAGAACGACCTGGTTGGGATGCAATCATCTTCAGGTTACCCAGTGTTCGATCGAAAACAGCGCCATCATCCGCGTGCTATCCTGTACTTGACGACGGGTCATAGTTAACCGTTACAAGGAGCTGAGGCTGCAACAAAAACCTTGAGTCACCTCACACCGCGACGCTGTCTTGAGCCTGCTTCAAAATGGGGGAAGTGAGGCGATTCGTATTCCGCGAGGAGCACGAACTAGTTCACGAGTAGTCACGTGGAAAATCAATCACGACCTCATGGATGCGAAGGCTGGCAAAGGATAGCTCTTATACTGCGAAATGATCTCCAGTTTCAGATTTTGTCACATGATGTGGGTTCTTGCAAAGGCATTTCCTGTCAAGATCAAGCAACGAAATACTACAGAACCACGGTTTGGTGTATCAAGGATCTAGTCATGTATAGCAATCCTTCGAAACTTAATTCGAGTTCCAGCTCTATAGGATCAACACAATGCATGCGCAAAGTTGTATGCTCAGCCTAGCATTAACAACAACCATTCAAGAGGAAACTGGTCCGAGGATTCTACAGACAACGGTCGAAAAACTCTCTCGCACACTGCGCTAATTTGTTGTTACTGTAAAACGTTTGCCTTTCCAAAGCGGTCCGTCAATAACACGTAAACGGCAATATCTGTACCTCCTTTCATCTCGTTTTGTCGTTACTTAACAATCGTCATCGTGCATTAGCATGAAAGATTAGGCGACCAGCTGGTTACACGACAAATCTTCGCCCACATATTCTACATTCTTTTGGTTTGGTGTTTTGGGTAATTCTTCACTTTTACCCCGGGAGAAATCTACCACAACTTCCATGATTGCATCATTACCCTCGCTGTCAGTAACAGCAGGAGTCAATAATGATGCCCGAATCCCATCCAACTATTCTAATTTGCTTGAAGACTCTAATTCAAAATAATAAAATAGTAAATGGAATGAACCTAGTGGTCACACGGTACGATGAGTGTGCCCGGCATCCAGTTATCCACCAAGATTTTTCGTATCACGCTGAGTGTCAGGAATAAACTCAGGCAGGAACTCCAACAAACCAAAAAAATACTGCTACGAAGGTATGCATAAATGTATACTTCATTTTATCCAAACATATAGATACGGACATGTGTATCGACTGATTTCGCATTCACGTCAGATTATTGCCCAACACGCTGTATTGTGTTTCCATTTCGGTTTTACGCTGGATGATGTTTGCTCATAGTAGGAACCCTGTTGACTATGTAGTCGACGGCAACAGAGATGTAGATACGATCAGCTACAAACTCACTGCACAAGACGGGTAACATCAGTAGTGTCAAGTGTAGAAAAATTCATGATCTGAAAACTGTTCAAACAACGATAGGAGGAAACGAACGTTTGCGCGGCAGTCAATACAAATACCGAATATATTAAACGAGCACATCAAGGAGATTCCACAGAAAACAACCTTAGGTACAGCGTGTGTCGGGGAGAAGCTCTAAGGAGTGAGAGTGAGTGTGTTCAGGTAACAAGGAACAGTATGTGGAACATGTTTACATGCAGGTGTAAAGCAGAATAAAATGACGCAACTCTATTTCGTCCTAGAAGAAAATCGATAGGCAAGTTAGATCAATCGTCCACGAATAGGTTGCAATAAAAGCCAGAAGCAAACAACTGGCTCACCGTTCCCTGCGTAAGATGGGCAATATCAATTACACCAGGTAGCATGAAATACCATAAACTTATTGGTCAAAAAGGAAGACTAGTTACTGGGCAACCTCTAAACAGCACCCGCCCCATGTGAATTTCTGGCGCATGTCGTCAATGTAAGCTAAAGTCTCAAAACCGTAGCAGTTTTGTCGTTCTACGGAAACAAGCCTCATAATTTTTCTACACCCAGCTTTATTCATGCGACACATACAACCACAACATAGTCAGAGCATCACAAAACGGTGATAATTCTCCGTCTTATGAATCAATATTGCCCAAATTAGCCCGAGAAATGCGAGAATTATAGACTCCGTAAAGATCACAGACGCAAACAACTCTAATTGAGGGGACACTCACCTAGGATAAATAAGGTCGCCATGATTTCCAGTATTTCCGGTTCTATGTGTCGAAAAAGAATGACTGGCAGAACGGAGAAGAGGGTGCACAACGGGAGGATGAAGCCTAGGCGACCGGTTAACCAGCCGCCACCACTAGAATAAAATTGAAGTAAGTAGGGAAACATTAAAATGAAGAACAACAATGCTTAAAGAGGCAAAGTAATGGTCAGATCTACGCCCTAAAAACCCTAATGGACAACCAAGCGTCAGTTTACCCACAGAAACCCAATGAATTCGAGTAAATTATCGATGAAAATCGCAATCATACATTGCAAACATTCTGTTCCCTTGCACTGTGGAAAAGATTGTCCAGAATGCCTGTTTACAGCGAACCAAATAGATTTACTTAGTGAATATCAACAAATTCAACACCGCATCGAACCACAGGTACATGAAATCGGAACAAATCCACCATTACTTGTTGAAGAGGGCAGTATACATTGTCTGGCAGCGATGGTTGGTTCGTGACAAACAAAAGCGGAATCCTAAACACGGTTGCGCGACGAGTGACCAATCGCTCAATGACCTGGAGATTCGGCCAATCCAAGGAGTTCGTTGGTTAAGGATGTACGTTTAACCCATTCTCAAACGCTAGCGTTTTTGGACATAACAACGAATAACCGAAAACAACGATTTGTTCGGTCTCACTCTCAGTCAGCTGATTGCCGAATCGTGCAAGTAACCTATTAACAAAATTCCACTTGGTTTGACAAAACCTGAGAGGGAACATAGCCATCTGAACCTGCCCTTGGGTTGCTCAATGATACGTGTATAAATATGCAAATCGACTGCAACTGAAAGTTAGCAGTTTTTGCTAAGCCAGGTCCAAAACAATGGAAAGTTATCACAAGAATGGGTCGACTCCGACCTGACCGCTACGGGTAACGGCGGTCAACCGGTGATCGCGGCCGAGTGAAACTCCTGCCAGCAATATGCCACACAGATCATATTTAGAAAAATTAGAGACGAAAGCGACCAGTAGCATGCGTCCTTTGTCAACCCGATATTAGATTGAGTGTGTTACTTTTGGGTTCCCTTCCTGAGAAGGGTTCAACCGGGCAAAAATTAGGAGAGGCTTGTTAGTTGTGTAACGGTTATTCAACTCAAGATTCGTTCCTGTATTTGGCATTCCTTTTTACTTCCGCTGACAAAAGGCTTAATCGGGCATGATACTCGTGTGTACATTTTAGAGCTGTACTTTCTTCTTGACAGTTTTCCTCAAGAACACGGCACTGTTTTCGCACAAATTCCCCACCCTTTCCTTTATTTCACTCTACCGAAGCCTTTTCCCCTCATGGTCGCATGGCTGTTATCCTCTAGTAGGTATTACCAATGTATTGCTATCAATGATGACAATGATGTCTCCCCTCCTTTATAAAAACCGAACAAGTAAATGCACAACATTGGGGCTATCATAGTAATCTCCCGTGTGATAACTGTAGCTAAACTCAAAGTCCGTAGACTTACTCGAAACTCTTGGGGACCCGTTGAGTGGTAGTAATACAGCATATACAAAGCAGTATGCCTATACCAAGTGAAATCACATGGACCTAGAGGAATCAAAGAAAGGTTATAAACAATTAAACCAAGGCCAATAACTCCTTATGTTGGTTGAAGTAGTCTGCAAGCGAATAGTCAAGCAATAAAAAAACAGTGGTAGTCACAGTTTTCAAAGAAGGTACACATGACCAGCAGTGATTAGCATTTATATGGTGGAGAGATTCTACGAGAGTAAGATAGATCGGCCGACAAAGAAGCACTCCGGAAGAGGAAATATTTGAGACGAACATGGATTTTCCTGTCGCAATCCCCACCAGATGAAAATAAACCAACCATGGAGTAAACAACTTGTCATTAAAAAGAGACACCATAATGAACCATTAAGTGTTCGTCACGTGGCTGTTGATCTGTCCACCGAGCTTGGGAATTAACTCGCAAGTGTTTCGTTATCAGTGCGCGCACTGATAATATGTCCTGGCTCATTTGGTGACGAAACGTTTGCAAGCCAGCCTGGAAAACAGATCAACAACCGCCTGACCAACAACCGACAAAAGCATCCGAGCTACCAGTGAAAGGAAGAAGGCCTTCGCTGCGGAGTTACCTATTAGAAAGCGCACAATGACCGGTTACAGACTATTGGACTGGGAAGCAAAACTCTCATTTGTACCTTATTTACAAAAACTGGACATCCATCTTCTCCTGAATGCGCCTTCTTGAACTTTCCTGGAGATTCATTGACTCCAACCATTAATTGCTCAAATCCAAGCAAATGTTACAAAGCGACTCCACAAATTCCGAAACAGATCTCCCCTTTTCAAGAGGCGCAAAGCGAAATTCCAAGAACGACACGCACTACTCACATGCCTCCCCATCAGTAGTATCACCGTTGCACCAGTATTCCGGCATATTGCCAACACGGTGACCTAGACTTGTCATTCAGCTGTCAAGCAAAGCGGCTGAGCTTTTTCAGAAATAAGTGAACACATAAAATTTTCCACAATCTGTGCAGAAATTGACGTAAATAAACCACCAGGCATCAGCTGGAAGGCATGCATTGCAACACCACCAGCCAAGCACAGAAAGGGGTTCAGGAAACTATCCTGGAAATAGGAGCAAATAAAAACAGCTGAACTTTTCGTAAACATCCGCTGCTAAATCATACGTCATGGTACGTTGTGAAGAGGTGTCGACAGCATTGGTCGCGCCAAGAATAAAGTATTCCAAAACTTATTGCAATCACCCACAAGCACTCATCTTTTATAGATTCTACAGTTTCCGTGGGGCGACACGAAAACTACTCCTCTATAGCAGCCGGTCTGAATGGGCTTTGATTATGCGTATATGCACCACAAATGTGCGAAATTTTGGGATTTGATTGAAGAACTAAGTACTGACACAGGATTCTTGTCACCGAACAAGAGAACATTCAGAAGCACCTCCTTTCGGAAGCATTTTTTCATCGGTGGATCACAAATGCATGATCAAGTTCCGATTCGCAAATTGTGCCGTCTGATACGCAATATGAAAGGATTCCAGTTCGTTTATAGATTCTGTCTCAATGCCAACCAGTTTTACAGGCGATGACGAAATGATGTATCGAAACAATTTGCTATGATGATACTGAAGTAGTGTAGAATTATAAGTCCCTGTCCGGGACGGATATTGCGTCGGCATGAGTTACTGCATCATGACGAAATGAAACTGTATTTGAACGAGCACTTGACTATATCCACCAAGGTAAGGCAAAAAACCATAATTTGGGGCATTTACGCACTTCACCTCGAATGTACCCGTGTGAACGCAGACGTAAAAATAGCAAGAAGTAAACACAAAATTGGTGATCAGCGGTACCCTGCAGAAGACTAGAGCTTTTCAGCAGACGGGCTCGTCAAGACTTGCTGAGCAAGAATATGGATGCACGAATGGACTTCACAATCAAAGAAGTGATCCACTCTTTGTTCTATTGAGAATATAACGGTGAGTTCGTAATCTCGCTTCAGGCAGCTCAAACATCGCCCTTGAGGCAGATTTCCTATTTAAACACCAACTACTTGGATATAAAAGTAGTGTATGTGTAGAACAAAAGAGCTGATGTCACGTTCACACCACCCGCTCGAACAGCCGTCATATTGTCCCATCCAGATAAAGAGGGGAAGCATTCGACTCGAGTTTCGCTTTCATCGTAGCTCATCACCAGCGCACGTCCCTGGTAGTGGCGAATTTTGATCTCCGGGGTGTGTGTTACCATCACCACACCGGCGCACGCTGGACGCATCCGAACTTTCATGTTTGGACAGGCTAACATGGTAACGCTTGACCCATGTGGTTGGTTTGCCCGTAGGCTTGAACGACGACCCATAACATTCATGGTTGTTTCGACCGTGAGGGACGCTTGAAACCTGATTTGTTGTGGGTGTTCGCAGAATTTGCGGAATTCAAATCGACATCACTCTCGCTTGATTCTGTGGGAGACACTGGATAGAACTCAGTCCCTTAATATTCTACCATGCTTAGGAAGCCCACGAAAACAGCAGCCGTATGAAGAACAGCGAATTACTGTACCGTGAGAAGTCGTATTACTTAGGTTGTCTGGTGGCAAATCCGAACTATTCTCAGCGACTGGAGTGCGAAGGCAAGATCGCGCAACACTTTTAGTATGGTAAACACATGTAAACACACTTTCTGACATAAGAAAACGCGACATAAGCCTTGGAGATTCGTTCATATCACACTATAACCGGAACCCACATAACATCGGATCCGTAATGTGAAGTGAGCCGGATGATTACCCGGAAAGGTAACCTTCTCCCGCTCGCCGGATCAGCTGGTCACATGGAGGCGACTCAGCAGCGACTACTCAATGACTTGAGACGAAACATGAAAGTTCTTTCCAGTCAACGTAGCCATGTTGGCGACCACCATCTTCCCTAATAAGAACTCCAGTATGAGACGTATCCATGGTCAGTGACCCTAACAAATATGGTATGTCACGCGGAACATTCTGCATCAAAATTATCTCATTCAATGCGTAACACTCGCACTCCCTGTCATGCCAGACACACAAAACCACTTAACGTCAACGAACTGGATGGGTCATCATCTATAACAAGTGACTCTTCCTTATTCGTCTTAGCCTTGATCAAAAAAGCCGCAACCGCTGCAGCGACTGCACTGCGGTACCCGGTCTGTAGCTGGGCTGACTCAATGAACTACAACCATGCCCACAGGGTCAATAACACGAGTCTTCTCTCATGATGAATCGATCCGAAGTAGATAAAGATGTCTCTTAAACCCGGATTTTGGACCTGGTCGGACTAGTAAGACCAATTATCAGGAAAAAGACTCACACGATGAACAGCATCGCTGTTGGCTTCTGCACGAATCCGGTAAATCGAACATATCATAAGGAGCGAAAACAGCAAGGCGGAAAGAAGCAGCCACGAGAGTTCAGTTGGTGCCCTCTGCTTCAAGCTCCATATGTTTGTATTGTGTAGAAAAAGCAGCACAGCACATATCACAGCGATAGAACCGAAAAAAGGACGGCGATGACTGGCTACAAACAAATGCATGACAAGACAGTGCAAGAATCGTGGTCATACACGAATATTGAAATGCTTCAGGTGAATTTTTAAAAACTTTAGAGACATCAAAAACAATTAATATTACCGTAGCTAACAACACTACGCTGTATCAAGCTGCGAAAGGAAGATACAACATCTGAAGGATGCTGACCCAGGTTTCTCAGACTCACTGTCAGAATCCCGAGCAGTATAAATCATTTTATGGAAAACGGTAACATACTGTCGTGTTGACAAGTGTAACTCTCTTGGATGGCAAACCTAGGACACAACATATCAGTGGTTCATGAGACTGAAAGACATGAGTGGAGCAGCCGGTAGTTGTTGTCTCTGTATTAAAGTTATTGCCTTCAACAACGAGCTCAGTCTCCCTCTTCATCTGGCAGCTACACCAACCCTTGGAACGTCGTTTGCAGCCAAACAACTGAAGTGAACTAATGTTACAAAAATTCCAGCTGTTGTCTTTGCTGTCCGCTTTTCAAGATAGACTTTTCCTGACCCTTCTTTGAGGCGCCAAGCGCCTTACCCTTTCCACACCATTCTTTTGATTACGGAGCGTGATTCTATTAAATTAACATAGTTGCACGGTACTGAACCAACAGCATGCTGTTGTCGATTACTATATACTACACTATATACTATACTACATTCAAGCATCGTTCGAATTCCAGATAGATCTTGTGACTTACACACCATGCACATCTTAGAGACTCGATTTGATTGTCTGCCAAGCAAACATATCAAGCACGTCACTCATCTGTATGGCGCCTACTACGGCTAGAAGCATTGGTATGAACTGGACGGGATTCTATACATACGCACATATCGATTTCCCTCCTCCGCCTTATCCCTCACTTCGAAGAACAGACAATACATAATGGCGTATAGTAGCACCATAGTAACTAGAGGAGTGTGTCAAATGTTTCCTTGACAAGCACATACACGTCATAAATGCAATAACCATATATGTGCGATATAAGAGTTGCCAAGTATGAAATGTCTTCAGGGAGTGACCAATCTGTGTAAAGGGTCGCGGTACCTTCAATTGTTGCCCCTGTTAGCCGTCACAGTGCTGACACATGCATATAGCAGACAGTGAGCACAATAGGTCATATTGTGTGTCCATCTTACACAAAAATATGGTGTTGAAGTTCATGAGGATTGCATAGCTAGTACAAAACCAAGCTCTATAAGTTTGCACAAAGAACACTGAAAGTTAACAGGCTGGTACACAAAACGTTGTACCAGGTCTGCGGCGTATTGTGTCGCGCCCCACATTTGACTAACTCATGTTTTGAGAAAAAAATATTTCGAATGTGCCCAGCCCTGAAGCTACACCTACGACCCCTCGTGCAACCATTCAAAATCACTATGGGTACAGGAAGTGTTCCCAATGGAAAGACGAAAATAGCCAAGAAACTCACCGCAGTGGTCAAGTTTGCCAAACCCCCGTGCAATACTAGACAGAAATTGTACACCACAAAAAAGCAGCACCGTCATCAACTGAAAGTTGCGGAAAAGGTAGGAAAGATAGGAAGTTATGTTTTAATATGGTTCACGGATAAACTAAAAACTGAACGTTATGCATTTGAATCTACTAGTCGTATTAGGCGCGGATGAGACAACCAGCGAAGCCAAACGAAAAAAACCGAGGACCCCGGAAAAGTCGTTATTCCTTCGGCTTATCAAAGCTGACCATCACTAGTATGAGGATACCGACGTTCGACCACCGAAGCTGACAACCACTGGTCCGACATGACTACCATCAACTCACAAAAGATATATTGCACAACTTATCTGCTCCATTCGTCACCGGGCCATGGTTTCATAGTGTCAATTCAGTTCACGTGACTGACTGCCCACTTTTGTAGAACATGGAAAGCAACCACGACGTAATACACGCGAAAACTAGATGAATTGCCACCTAAAGCTGACCATAAAATATGGGTCCGTACGCTGCGACAAACCATCACTTGGTTCAGAACAAATCGTCCCTGGCATTTTGACCTGTGACCGCAAGTCTAGTTATCTCCATTGCGGTAGAAAAACTAGCAGGTGTTTGGCACACATTATAAGCTAAGGTAGTTCGCCAGCTTATGGATGTATTGAAAGCAAGCCATATACTGGAAGTATTGGTAAAAGTAAGCTTGCAATGAAGGATATAGGCAGAAAAAGTTTTCAGTGTCACGAGCACTTACCAGACAGCACCGCCAATTGGTGGAAGTACGGCACCAATATTGGGTCAGAAGTACATTACCTTGTAGTGACACCAATTAAGATGTGGTGAAAACATACTACCAGCTTCTTCCTTCTCGGGGCTCATCGCGTGGATGTACTTCTCAAGTTTCCAGCACTTGTCGTTCGGCTGCAACGCCCTTTCGGTGCCTAGCTGCCATACCACCAGAACGAAGTACGAGGGCTGGGATACTGCCAAGTTGCCCAAAGATGCAGGGGCCAGGTTCGAACCAACGATCTTCGGTTCAGTAAATTCGCGCTCTAACCACCGAGCCATCTCGCTATCAACCTCGTGTTCCATGTGAACACCAAGTTGAACGTAACTGGTGAAATACACTTATTTGTAAACCAAATTGGTGTTAACGGGAGAGGCAACCGAAGCTCTCGTTTATGAGACGCGTTAACTGAACGTACTGCACGGATGCGACATTCGGAATACCAAGTTATATTTTCTTGACATACAGTCTGGAAATTCAAACATCTGCAACAATATGTCGTTGAGGCCCATTTCCAGATGGAAATAAATTCACGATTTATGAAGAGACAACTCACTAGCTGAACACCAGCATGGGCTGAGATCCAGTTGGAATAAATATGAACAATATGCGCACCAAGAGGGAAAATTTCCATTAGCAGAAGGATACAGAACTGCACACAACGTTGCCAAAGTAAGCCATAGTTCCTTTTTCCAGAACGATTGGAAAGGAAGTAGTCTCGCTTGGACAGACACCACATAAGGACGAAGAAACTGGAGGCAATCCAACTCAATGCTATTCAATCTCGAACATACCCAGAAAGCAGAAGCTGAAGTGAAAACTGCAATCCAAGCGCACATGATATTATCCAGGACAGAATCAAACAGCAAAGCGAAGGAAGTGTAGTATGTATAAATACCTCCAGTAACTGTCGGATACAAGGGTCAAGCATGGGCATGAAAACAAACCTGAGGATCCAAATCGGTCAACTTAAACTCATAAATGCAAAGAATGAAATAGTGCAAAAGGAAATTGGTTACAGGAAAAAGATAGATGATATTGTGCCACTGATGCCTAGAATTAAGCGTAATATTAGAATGAAAAGCAAATACCATGATGTGAAAATGACAGCAGACAGGACGGCCAAGGACGCAAAAATGACAGCTGCAAGTGTTATGGCCAGTATTCTGTAAAAAAAAGCGTCATAAATTTTGCAGTGCAAACTTACAGGCTTCGATTATTATCACGGCTGAAGATAAGACATACTAGATACTGAACTAGCAAAGACAACAGAAATCTTCGGCAACTCCATAAAAGTGGACAGAACTCACCTTTCTCCGATAAATACACTAATCCCCAGAGCCGTGAAGACTACAAAGATGTGTATAGCCCCACTTGAAAGCATCATTCATTCGCTTCAATAAAACATTCAATGCAACCCGCACAGGAGCAAAAGTCCATCAAATGCGAGAATGATCTTTTCTGAAAATGCAAAGGGGAGCTTGGATAAACAGAACGCCGATAGATGAAAATGACTGAATAGAACCCAACAGGTGAATTATTAGGAAGGTGTGTTGACCAGGTAGTGTGTTTATTAGGTCCCTTATCTTAATAGTCGGGCCCCGCAGGAGGCCAAAATTTGGCTGGGGATTAAAAACCTTTTCAGATATGTAGAGGCGTGATATGAAAAAAAAATATCAGCCATGAGAATGCAGACTTGTCCAGAAGCACCCGGGAGTCAGAGATTAATGCGAACAACGAACATTTTGGTTTGGATCCCTATGTTGACCTTCCATATATCTTAAGGTTGGAACTTAAATGACACGAAGAGACTGGACCTTACCGTGG